CAAACTGGTATCAGTTTTTGTTATAACAATTAAATTTTAAGATGAAAATTATGATGATAAAGACAACACTGGAGAATAGACATCGGAGACTATCATCAGAATAGAGCAAAGAAAGGAAAAGAACATTTTACAAGAAAACATAAAAAAAACTTTCATTTTTATTGGGAACAGGCCAACGAACCGTCAAGCTATAACTTCGTTCAAGATCATCGAATCTGGGACGCACTGATATGGTTCTTTATAACTCGATGAGCTGAATCGAACCATATCAGGGTTTCCCGAGTTTGATACTTTTGAACGCAATTATAGATAGGCGGTACGTTGGGCTCGTGTATATTTGTGTAAACCCATTTTTACCATATTCAGAGAATAGAAAAAAACTCCCCTAAACATTCACTTTACCTCCCCTCCCGTAACAATTTGGGTATTCTCCTAACATCCAAACAATTCCCCTACAGTCATTTAAGCAACTTTATTTTTGGCCTCTACTACCTCCTCCTATCACCTCTCCCGTATCCAAACTAACACTTTTTTAAATTATTTAGCTAGCATAACATTTTTGTTTATTTATTTTATATTCAAGTAGTATAAATTTCTTCACTCAGTTTTCTCTTTAAAATGTTATTTATTAAGTTGAAATTAATTCCAAAAAATATTTTTCTTTATTTAATTAAAACCTGTTTGACGTTCAGTTACAAGGTGTAACTGTAGCGGGACAAATGCTGAAGTTGATTGTGAAATTGGTGGGGATGTTAATGATTCGAAATTGCCAGAAATACTTTTTGGGACTTTACTAAATAATGAAGAGGAGGAGGATTGAGGTATTGAATATAGTTGGTTATTATTATTGTTATTATTTTGTGAATATGATGCCCCTGTAATTGAAGATGCTGTTGTGGAACCTGTGGAAGCTGAATGATGCATTCTCATTACTAAACCCTTTTAAATATTTAAATAAATATTACAAAAATAAATTAAATAGGTGAATAATGAAAATACGGGTAGAGATCGAACGATTAATATTCGATCGAATAATTTTGTATATTTTGAATTTGAATTTTTTACAATGGAAAGAGATTATATGTACGTAAATATTAAAGAACCTTTAAATTAAAATTAAATTTCTATAATAACTTTTATAATGTAAAACAAACAAAAAAACATTGTTAAAAAATTTTTGTATTATTATTAATAATTTTTGTATTAATAATTTTTAATAAAAAATTTTTGTAAAAATTTTTGTATTTTATTTAGAAATTAAATCAATATACTGTAACAATTCTACAAAAATTTTGAGTTTTTTTTGAAAATTTTTTCTGAACAAAAAATATTTCAAGTTAAATATTAGAATATAAAGATTTTTATAAGATATGGGTTTTCTACATATAAAGATTTTTTAAATTATTTAGTAAAATTCTTTTATTTAATTTTTCTGCAAAAAATATTGAGAATAGCAAAAATAAAAATGTTTAGTAAATAAATTATATTTTTAATTAACTAATCTAATAATTAATTAAAATAATTTTTTATTTATTAAAAAAATATTTAAATAAAAACAGATATTTTTCTTTCTGTTTAATTCAATTAAATTTAGCTTTTATTTAAATAATTTTTTTAAAGTTGAAGGATAATAGTCTACACTGCTCCACATAACTATAACCTCACCCTAAATTTTCAAATTTCTTAACTTCTACCGAATCAATCAGGATGATTTTTATTTTTTATTAATAAAAGCAGGTAACAATTCATATGAACCCAAGAAATCGAAAAAAATTTTATTCGAAAATTTTTTATCCAATTTTTTCAAAAAACACCCTCCACATAACTATAACCTCACCTTCAGAAATCATATTAGGAATGCTCGAAAAATTTTGCAAAAATTCACGAAAACTTTTCCTTTGATATTAAGTAGAAAACAAAAAGAACGAAGTCTTTAAGTGCTTTTTTCATCGAGATCCAAAATCGCGAAAATCAACGGGAAATGGGGGGTACAGTACTTAAAAAATATTTTTACAAGTGTAGACTGTAGATAAAATTTTTTATTATAGTCCATCTGAAAGCCCACAAAATTTGCTACAAAAAACACTTAGTCCTATCATCGAGAAAAATTTTATCACTGGGGAGCAATCGGTTAAATTTAGAAACTCGAAATAATGATATTTTATGGGGTGATTTGGGTGAATTCGTTAATCATCTTATTTAACACAAGTCTACTCGAAGGTAGAATTTTTGTCCTGGATAGGACCTAGTGCATTTTGTAGCAAATTTTGTGGGCTTTCAGATGGACTATAATAAAAAATTTTATCTACAGTCTACACTTGTGAAAATATTTTTTAAGTACTGTACCCCGCATTTCCCGTTGATTTTCGAGATTTTGTATCTCGATGAAAAAAGCACTTAAAGACTTCGTTCTTTTTGCTAATCGCTTATTATCAATGGAAATGTTTGCGTAAATTTTTGTAAAATATTTCAAGCATTCCTAATATGATTTCTGTGGGTGAGGTTATAGTTATGTGGAGGGTGTTTTTTGGAAATATTGGATAAAAATTTTTTAAGCAGAAATTTTTTAGATTTCTCAGGTTTATATGAATTGTTAACTGCTTTTATTAATAAAAAATAAAAATCAGCCCGATTGATTCGGTAGAAGTTAAAAAATTCGAAAATTTAGGGTGAGGTTATAGTTATGTGGAGCAGTGTATAAGAATGCCATAAAATATATAGTAGTAAGATTAAGTAGTAGATGGATTGGAGATTGTCTTTTCTCTCCTCTTCATTCAAAAATTCCTTCTTCAATTCCCCTTCCTTCTTCTTCCCCCTTCTTTTAAAATAAATACTTTTATATAAAAATAAACTTTTCTGTGCAACTTCTTCTCCCCCTTTTATTTTTATTTCCAACATTTTTTTACTTTCTTCAATACCAAAAAAAAGTTTTTCTTCCTGGAAAAAAACTCCCTGAAGACCAACCAAAAAGGAAAGTCAATAGCTTTATAAATATAAAAAAGCAAAGGGCAATAAAAGGATTTTTTAAATAAAGTGTCAATGAAAAATATAGAAATTTTAAAAATGAAAGAATGTAGGGAGTGGGAAGCTTTTTTTGGAATTATCAGATTTTGGATATTTTTCTATTTTATAATGCCGTTTTTTGCAAAGATTTGCATCTCAATTTAAAATCTTTCGACACTTCAAAAATTCTACTGATATATTTTTTAGTAAATGAAAGAAATGAAAATTTCTGTAAAAAATTTGTAGGAAAAAAAGTAAAAAAATATAATTTAATAAAATACAGAAAAGTAAAAAACATGTAGTACAAAATTTGGACCGTAATTTAAAATACAACAAAATTTTCAAAAAATATTTTAAAGATATTTTTGAAAAATTTGGTTGGTTACAACGTGGGGGAGCTATCTAAATAAAGGTTTATGTACATAAATTCGATGTTTTAAATTAAATTAAAGCATTTTTACCTCCTCCTTTATTCCTTTATGTATTTCTTGTAGATAATAAAATATTAATTATTATAAAACAAAAAAGTTTCCCAATACATACTTAATTTTATTTATAAAGGACATTTGTTTAAATTGTTGAAAGAATTTCATGGAAAATTTAAAATAATTGTTCTATGTACAAAGAAAATAAAGGGAAAGCCTTTCTAAAATAAAAGATGGTTTTACCTAACTTGGGACTTGAAAGATATTTTTAAAATTACATTAATAATTCTTATAATGTATTTAATTGAAGCTAAGTTTAAGTAAATAATTGGATTACATAGAACAGTTTATTTAATTAAGCTAAAAAATTTTTCTTAATTAATCTTTCAGCAGATATTATTATCAATAGCTAAAAAATTAACATAAAAAGCCAAAAAAATTTTTTAAAGAATTCTGCTAAGAATAAAAATATTTTTTATTTAGACATAATTAAATTCCTTTTAAATTTTTAAAGTAAAATTATTTTGGGAAGGAAGGGTTAGAAAGGCTTTGTTGTGACCTATTGCTGTTTTTGTGTTCCTTGGGGAGCACAATTAAAAATTGAATAAAAAAATATTTTTTTCAAAGTTGAGTGAATGAAGGAGGAAATAAATAAAAAAAATAAAAATAAATAAATATTTAATTTTATCCATAAGGAAGTACTGAACATATCTTATAAATACATAATAACTAGTGTTCAACACCGGCCCGATTTTTACACAGTCCGTGCCCTTTCCAAAGTCCACGTCCTAAGAATTTTAGGCGATCTCCGGATTAGTCATGATTCAGAAAAATGTCTCATCGAGTTTGGCATGAAACGAAATCTCAAGTTCAGTTTTCGGACCCTAATAAATAATTCTTCGGGCACTAATAAAAGCTCAGACAAGTAATCTTTAGTATTTTTAATACTATACATACGTTTTATTGTCTCCAGGATTTATCACAAAATATTTTAATAGTCATTTTTACATCAATACATCGCAAAAATAATATTTAATAAAATTTTTAAATTAAGTCTAACAAATACATAGTATTTATGATTAATAAATATTAAAAATATTTATTGTTAAGAATGATTCATAAATATAATTGCTTAATAATTTTTGACTATTTTGGCCTTTTTATTAAATTCGACATTAATAAATTATGCTTGTGATATTTACGTTTTTGGAAAAATTTACAAAATTATTTGATCATCTAACAGTCAATTTTTGTATTAAATGTTAGAATTTAATAATCATTGTGCCTATAAAATGCTTTGAGTTTGAAGTACCCAACATCACTTCTCAATACATTCTACCCTCAAAAATAAATTAAATATGAAAATAATTTTATTTATAATCAGCTTTACATTACTTCTTCATGAAGCATCATTGTCAGATCCAGACATCATCGTAAAACGCAATGCTTATGGCCCTCCACCGCCTCCACCGTATGTGCCTCCACCGGTTAAATATGGCCCTCCACAACCGCCTCCATACGTGCCTCCACCTTACGTGCCACCAACACCAGCACCAACTACTCCAAAACCTTATGTACCACCACCACCGGTATATGCTCCACCACCAGCTCCTCCAGCACCACCGGTATATGCTCCACCACCTTCGCCTCCAGCTCCTCCAACTTATGCTCCACCACCTCCTCCATCTCCACCACCACCACCAGCATATGCTCCACCACCACCAAGGTAGTCTCGACTTTAATTTTTTCAAAATTCCTTTTTCAGCTATAAAGCGCCCCCAGCTGGTGAATGGCATTATGTAGAGAATCCTTGGAACAAGCCACAACCCCCAGCACCAACAACACCACCAAAATACGCACCACCAGCCCCTCCTGCTTATGGCCCTCCTCAACCACCACCTGCGCCACCAGCACCTCCAGCATATGCTCCACCGGCACCACCTTCTCCACCACCACCGGTATATGCTCCACCACCAACACAACCTCCACCTGCCTACTATCCTCCTGCACCATCATATATTCCGAAACCTAGTTTTTGAATGATTAATTGAGAAAGGAAAATATAAATAAATTATAAAAAATAATTCTGTGATATCCTTTTAATATCAATTGTTGTTCTAATTTTGAAAAGGAATAAATTATTTATAAATTATTTTTATTTAATTAAGTAGATTTTTTAAAAATGTAAACTTTTCGGGCCGGCCCGAGCGAATCTTTTCCTGACTCGATCTTTTAGACCAGGCCGGATCGGGCCCCAACCCTACTAATTATTGAAACAAAAAATAAGTTTAAATATTTTTTAAATAAAATTATAAATTAATCGTTCTGATTGATTTTATAAAATATTTTAAATACATAACACAAAAATGTATAAACTACTCTGGATTTTGTTGTAAAGTCACCAAGAGTAGTTTTTCCATAAGATAAAATCGCGTAGGTGTAAAATAAAAATGTATTTATGTTTTATTTTTTATTAAATAAAGTTTGTAATGAAAAATATATTAATTACAACATTTAATATTTTTTAATTAATGAAATTTTTGCTGATTCTTATTTGAAAGGAGAGATTGTGTTGCTATTTTGATCTCAGATTTTCGAATTATGATTTATTGTTTAAATTAGTGTAGCAAACCGACCCCTGAATCCCCGACCACAAACCACAACCGAAAAGTCAACCCCGACAACGAACTCAGACATGCCTTCCCCGGCACACCCCGATCCACGACACACCCACCCAAAGGGTCGGGTTGCTACACTAGCTTAAATATTTAATCCTAAACTTGATTACATTCTGATGTGTAGATTTAATTAAGCTTTACTTTTAATTTGCAATTGCTTCAATTTCTCAATTGCTTTGATTTTTTATTTTGATTTAAAAATCCCTTTCAAATTATTAAATCATATTATATTTATAATAAATCTTCAGCAGTTCCATCTACTTTAATAAAATGTTACATTCTAATAAAAAAAATCATCATATGATTCATTTTAAAGAAATTAACTTCAAGTAAATCACTCTCCTCTCACAAAATATATCTTCATTATTTCTCAAATATTCTTTCCTTCTTCCTTTCATTTTTTATATTTTTTTGCGCATTTGTTTGTTTCCTCAAAAAATTTGTTTGATCAAAAATATTATGGTTGAAGATAGAGATTTTTGGGTGCTTATCAAAAAAATAGCCACTCAAGAAGGCCTTTTTTTATTTTCCACTTAATATAAAAATATTTTTAAGTATGAGTCCGATAATTTTTTGAACGTTGCTTCTGTTCAAAAAAGCAAATAATAAACAAAGTAATTTTAAAGTGTCTATTAGAAAGCAACATTTCTTGATAAAAAAAATCCCGTTATTTGTTGCTAAATCAATTAAATTTATTAAATACTGTATAGTTTTTGTTTTAAATAATTTTTAAATTTATTTTTAATAAATCTTTTTAAGTTTTTTTAAAATTATTATAATAAGTAGAGTTAAACTTTTCAAAATGCCGGGCCCGGGACCCGGTTTTTTTTTCTCAAAATCGCACCCGGACCGGTTTTTCCGGATAAAACCGGAAAAACCGGTTAGCCCGGAAAAACCGGATTTTTTCAGACCCGGGCCCGGACCCGGTTTTTTTCTAAATTTATTAAAAACATAAAAAAATTATCACACATACAAAGGATCGATTAAAGGATAGATGAATCAAAGGATAGATTCATCTATCCTTGAAAAAAAATTTTCCGCAGCCGCGATCCGCAATTGTAATTATAAAATCCGCAGTCCGCAATTTTGTAGTCTGGGAAAATAAGTGGATTTGACTTTTCAAGCGCCGCAGGCAAAAATTTTGAAAATTTTGAAAAGCCAACAAGCCAGATTTCTTCTTTTTTACGCCGGAGGCGAAAATTTTGAGAATTTGTGTAGACAAGGGGCTAGATTTCTTCTTTTTCTAGCGCCGCAGGCGAAAATTTTGAGAATCTCGGAAGGCCAAGGTGCAAAATTTCTTCTTTTTTCAGCGCCGCAGGCGAAAATTTTGAGAATTTCGAAAGGCCAAGGAGCAAAATTTCTTCTTTTTTCAGCGCCGCAGGCGAAAATTTTGAGAATTTCGAAAGGCCAAGGAGCAAAATTTCTTCTTTTTTCAGCGCCGCAGGCGAAAATTTTGAAAATTTCGAAAGGCCAAGAGGCCAGATTTCTTCCTTTTTCACCGCCGGAGGCGACTCTCCGGGCCCGGCAAAAAATTACCGGGCCCGGGACCCGGTTTTTTTACTCAAAATCGCACCCGGGCAGGTTTTTCCGGATAAAACCGGAAAAACCGGTTAGCCCGGAAAAACCGGATTTTCTAAAAAATACCCGGTTCCGGGCCACCGGGCCCGGAAAAAAACCGGTCCGGGCCCGGCCCGGGTTCGAACTCTAATAATAAGCCGCAACTTGAGACCACACCAAAAAACACATTTCTGCTTATCTTGGAAAACATGTTTTTTTAATAATTGGATGAAAACATAATAAAATAAAAGTACATACTTTCGAATCAAGAAAAATTTTAAGGAAAATGATTAAACATAAAAAATAGTTGAATTTTGGACAGATATTTTCGAGAAATTACAATTAACTAAAATTAAATAGCGTGCCAGCTATTTTAAAATATCGGAAAATTTTTTCTAATTTAAACAATCTCCTTAACATTTTTTAATTTTCTCGACATAATACATAACTTTTTATTTTTCCTATTTTATTTAAATAAAATTTTTGTTTACCTACTTAATTTATTTAAATATTTATTAAAAAGTAAATTTAACATTTCGTTTCTACTAAATACATATCACATTTCTTTCGCTTACCTTCAAAATCGCATATAATTTTTTTTATTTTTTTTTAATTTTGAGAAAAGAGAAATATAATAATAATAAATACTTTATCTTTAATTAATCATGGCTCTTCCTGAAAAATTTCTAAAAGATCCTGCTTGGCCTTATCTGCGCCAAAGTGAAGCTAAGGTTATTGCCAGTTAATAAAAAATATTTATTTTTTATCAGTTATTAACAGCCCAACATTTAACTTCTGGAAAGAAATTTGATCCAAAAAGGAGCGTTTGGATTCCTGATCCTGAAGAGGGGTTTATTGCTGCCGAAATAAAATCGACGGTTACTCCATCATTAACCAAAAATGGGGCGGAAATGATAACTGTTGTAATTAATGACAAAGGAATTGAGAGGAAACTGGCAAAGGAAGAGGTTCAACCAAGGAATCCCCCAAAGTTTGAAATGAGTGGTAAATTAACAAATTTTATATTTAATCACTTGATGTGTATAAAAATCCAAATAAAACAAATAATGGGTTGACCCAAAAAGAATGAGCCCTTTGATATGATCCTTAATGGCAAGAAGTAATAGATAATAATGGGCAATACATCGTTTCTTGATTGTTTTTTGTTTTTTTGTTATAGTAAATTATTTGCATTATCCATAAAAGGACTCATCCTTTTTGGGTCAACCCATTAACATTATTAAGGATAATTATGAACATTTGGAGAAGAATAATTTTTATATTTTCTTAAGTAAGGTCTAAAGTAAGGTCTAAAACGCAGAGATCCAAATTCCCCAAAAAGGGAATTTGTTTTTTACGTCGACTATATTCCTGATACATAACAGGGATGTTGCTAATCTATTTCAAAAAGCTAAACGGAAAAAAAACTAAACAGCAAGCAACATCCGCGATAATTTGTAAATATTAGCAATAGTATAACAATACTTTTAAAAACATTTAAACTGTTTAATAATTTAATTAAATTAAAGAGGATATGGCCGAACTAACACACCTCAACGAAGCTTCTGTTCTTCACAATCTACGGCAACGATATGCTAATACAATGATATATACATATTCTGGGCTTTTTTGTGTTGCAATTAATCCATATAAACGTTTGCCAATATATTCTGAAAGTGTTTGTAAAATGTATATTGGTAGGGCCTATTTTTTTGAATAATTATAGTAAAAATAGTATCTCAATATTTATGTTAATTTATTTTAAAATTTAATTTTTTAATTATTAATTTAGGAAGGCGTCGAAACGAAATGCCCCCACATATTTTTTCCATATGTGATGAAGCTTATAGAAATATGATGAATGAACAAGGTAATTAAGAGATTGGAATTTTCCAAAATTATTTTTGAAAAAAGAGAATCAATCAATGTTGATAACGGGAGAATCTGGTGCCGGAAAGACAGAAAACACCAAAAAAGTGATTGGATATTTTGCTGTGGTTGGTGGGCCTAGTGGAGTTTCAACAACGAGAAGACGGAGCAGTTCAAGTAAAGATACAGCGACATTGGAAGAACAAGTAGTCCGGACTAATCCTGTTTTGGAAGCTTTCGGTGGAAATTTTTGTTATTAATTGAGAATTTATTGGTAATCAGAGGTGGGTCGGAATCAGGGGTGGGCGCATTGCGTTTTGCGTTATTTGCGTTAAATTTTGGCCTTTTTTTTTGCGTTTTGCGTTTTGCGTTTTTTTCGATGAAATTAACGCAAAAAATATCCCCAATCTGAGGACAAAATGGGAGAAATCTGGCTTCTTGGCCTTCCAAAATTCTGAAAATTTTCGCCTGCGGCGCTGAAAAAAGGAAGAAAGTTGGCTTTCTGGCCTTCCAAAATTCTCAAAATTTTCGCCTGCGGCGCTGGAAATGCAAGAGGGATAAAGTGACTAACAAATAAGTGGAAATTATCGGCGGAATTGAAGGGATAGAAGACTATCGGTCGATGGGATTAGGCTGGATTTAAAAAGATATCGGGAATTTGTAGTGATATCCTGCTGTATCTCTTCAACCCCTGATACCTACTATATGCTCAAATCCCTATTATCTTTCTAATCCAAGGGCAAAAATTGAAGAAATCTAGCTTCTGTCTTTCTAAAATTCTCAAAAATTTTTTTGCGGATCTCAAGTTATCTCATCTCAGTTATCCTCCAAATCAACTGATATCCCCGGAGTTAATTTATAAATACTGATAGCCCTTTATCCTCCGTTATCTCCCTAACGAACCCGACATTTTTCAGTAATCCCATGGTATCTTTTTAAATCTCCTTGATCGCTCCAGTTTACATGATAATCTCCGTAATCCCCCGCCACTTCGTTAAACCCCTTGATCCCTCTAAATCCTCTGATATCTTCCATAATCCCTCTAAATCCTCTATATCTTTTCAAAACATTATTCATCAAACTTACATGTATCACAAAATCAATTAGGACATGCTGACTTATAGTAATACACCCATTTTTAACTGAAAAATGTCTAAAACTTAATTTAAAAAATTTTTTTCCCTATTTTGCGTTCTTGCGTTTTGCGTTTTGCGTCTTGCGTTATTTGCGTTAAATTTTGGCCTTGCGTTGCGTTTTGCGTCTTGCGTTTTTTGAGATTGTCTCTTGCGCCCACCCCTGGTCGGAATTCCAATTTCCGACGTTTTTTTCCTTCCGATTTCCGAAAAAATTTTGATTTCCAAGTTCCGACTTTTTAGCCAGTTCCGATTTCCGGCTCTTCCGATTTCCAACACCTCGGACTGTTCCGACCCACCTCTGTTGGTAATTGAGGAAATTTAAGGAAATGCAAAAACAATAAGAAATAACAATTCTTCACGTTTTGGAAAATTTATTCGTATACATTTTAACAAAGCTGGACGATTGACGGGAGGAGACATAGAACATTGTAATTAAAGAATATTAAATTTTAAATTAAATTTAATTAAAAGATTTGTTGGAAAAATCTCGTGTAATAAAACAATTGGGAGGAGAAAGATCCTATCATATTTTCTATCAAATAATGTCTGATGGAATTAATGGACTTAAAAGTCAGAGATTTTTAAAGGAGATTATTCCCTTAAATTTTTATTTTTAAAGAAAAGCTTTATTTAAATCGCCCGATAAGTGATTATCATTTTGTTGCCCAAGCAGAAGTTGCTATAGAAGGATTAGATGATAGGGAAGAAATGTTAATTACTGATGAATCTTTTGATATTATGAAGGTGTTTTAATTGACAAAAAAAATTTTTAGAATTTTTAATTTAAAGTTTACTGAAAAAGAAAAATTCGAAATGTATGCCCTAGTTGCTGCTGTAATGCATATGGGGGAAATGCGCTTTAAACAACGTCCGAGAGAGGAACAGGCTGAGGCTGACGATATTAAAGGTGTTTAATTTAAATTTAAAGCAGAATTTTTTGTCAAATTTTAGAGGGTGAAATAGCTTGTAAACTTTTTGGAGTGGATAAAGATGCTTTTTTAACTGCAATTCTCCGACCACGTGTAAAGATTGGTGCTGAATGGGTTAATAAAGGCCAAAATTTGGAACAAGTGAGAAAATAAAAATTTTGTTGATTATTACTAGGGTTGTTCCCCGTCCCCATAAGTCGGGGAATTTGAGATATGTTTTTGGAACCCACCCCCCCCCCCCTCCGCGTGGTGCTGCCTACACGAAAATTGTTCCCCGTGGCCCTCCCCCCCCCCCTCCCCCCGTTGGGGAACAACTCTACTTATTACTTGTTAAACAAACATTCAAAACTTCAAGGTAAACTTCTCTGTTGGAGCCCTCGCCAAAGCTTTATATGCCCGAATGTTTGCCTGGCTTATTCGACGTTGTAATGCAACACTCGATGTTCGAGACAAACAACAAAGAGAAGGGCAACATTTTATTGGGGTGTTGGATATTGCCGGCTTTGAAATATTCGAATTAAATTCTTTTGAACAATTATGGATTAATTTTGTTAATGAAAGACTTCAACAATTTTTTAATCACCATATGTTTATATTAGAACAGGAAGAATATCAACGAGAGGGTATTCAATGGGCATTTATAGACTTTGGCTTAGATCTTCAACCATGTATTGAATTAATTGAAAAGGTGATTTATTCGAAAATATTTTTGGGCAAGTCTGGTTATTTGGGAGAGTTTAGTGTTATAATCTTAAAAAGGATTACTTAAAAATTAGAATTTATTTTATAATATTAATTAGAGGAGACATGATCTCGATCAAAAATCTCGGTTATCTGGATCGAGAATTTTTCGAGATCTCGATTCTCGTACGACACTCCAAGTCTGGTTTCTAAGCTTAATAAACTTCTTTAGCCACTTGGAATTATCTCAATGTTAGATGAAGAATGTATTGTACCTAAAGCTACTGACAGTACCTTTGTACAAAAATTAAATGACCAACATATGGGGAAACATGCAAATTATCAGAGACCGAAGCCTCCGAAGGGAAAACAGGCAAAAATAATTTTTAAATCAAATATTTAATTTACTTAATAATTAAGGCAGAAGCCCATTTTGCCGTTATTCATTATGCCGGAACTGTACAATATAATGCTCATTCATGGCTTGAGAAAAATAAAGATCCTCTCAATGATTCTGTTGTTGCCGTTCTAAAATCAAACCCCGGAATGTCTTTACTTAAATTTATTTGGGAAGATTACCAAACACAGGAAGATGAAAAGAAGGCAAAATTATCTAATAAATTTTTTGAAAAATAAAATAATTTTAAGGAAGAACAGTTACTTTCAAATGGAGGAACTTCAAGATTTTCTAACAGCAGTAGAACTGCGGTAAAGGCAAAAAAGGGAAAATCATCTACCTTCCAAACTGTTTCAATGATTTATAGACAATCATTGGCCAATTTAATTAAGGTGCCAAAAAATCTTGGGAAAATTATTTTATTAATTTTTTAGATGCTTAATCAAACCCATCCCCATTTTATTCGTTGTATTATCCCTAATGAACAGAAAACGGCAGGTGTAATAGATGCTGGTTTGGTACTTAATCAACTTACTTGTAATGGTGTTTTAGAGGGTATTCGAATTTGTCGGAAAGGATTTCCAAATAGGGTAGGGTTTTGAACATTTTTTAAAAATTAGATGCATATTAGTTTAGCTTTATTAATTTATTAAAAAATAAATTTATAAATAAAGTTAATAAAAAGGTTCATTATCTCGACTTTCGACAACGCTATGCAGTACTTGCTGCTAAAGAAGCTATTGAACCTGTATCTGTTGAACTGGCAGGGAAACGAATGTGTGAACGCATGGAGCGTGAAGGGATACTTAACTCGGATAGTTTTCAATGTGGCAAAACTAAAGTGAGTAATTTTCTGAATTTATTTTCATTATTGAGCTTAATGTTTTTTAGCTTATAATATTTTCTAGAATTTGTTACCTAATGGTTCCATGATTTTTATTTAGATATTTTTTAAAACTGGTGTTCTAGCTTCACTAGAACAACACCGTGACGAAGCGTTGGCTAAAATTATTGCTGAATTCCAGCGAGTTTGCCGTTATTATTTGGCACAAAAGGAGCTTCAACGTCGGCGAGCTCAAAAGTTGGATATTTTATTTCTCACAATTAAAAAAAATTATTAAATAAAAGGGCTGGCATTAAAATAATTCAACGTAATGTCCGTAAATGGTGTGCTCTACGTGGTTGGAATTGGTTTAAGCTATTAGGCCGCGTCCGCCCTCTTATCAAAGAAAATCAACAACGCGAGGATTCTTTTGCTGAATTGGAAAATATTAACAAAAATTATTCACGTTTAGAAGCTGATTTTGCTCGCGAAGAAAAACGAAGGAAGGAATTGGAGGCAGAAACTGAGCGTTTAAAAGCTGAACGTCAACAGCTTGAAATGGCATTAGCACGTGAGAGGGATAGGTATGCTGAAGCTGAGACACATGCTAAGAGAACTGATGGGCAAAAAGCAGAGCTGGAACGTCAGGTAGAGCCGGATAGAAAAAAATTTTTTCCTAATTTAATTTCTAAATGTTGTTTACCTTCCCTTACAAATATTGATACAATTTATAAAAAAATAATCTCTCTGTGTAAGTAAGGATCACAAATCAAAAAAATAAAAACTAGGCTTCTATTAAATATTTGATCATTTTAGTTCATTAAGTGGCAACACTTAAATTATTTGGTAAACTGGGTTGGGCGGGATTTTCTATTTATAAAGCACTAATTTAATTTAAAAAATGTCTAGAAGTAGGGAGACCAATAATTATATTTGTTTTTAAAGTATTTCCTTTGAATACAGTGACTAATCTTCAATTAAGTGTGTTTTTAGCTTTTGTAGTCAATCAAAACACAAGTCAAACATGCTTTCAATTATCTCAGCATTTTATGCTTTGATTAATTCAAGCATTATTCCTCTTTAATCCAAAAAATATTTTTCATTTAAAGCTTGACAAAATGTCTGAGCAATTAGCCGAAGAGGAAAACGGTTATGCTTCAATGGCAAAAGCTCGAAAAAAGCTTGAAGCAGACATTGAATTGCTTAGAAAACAGCTTTCCGAGGCCGATTCTAATTTACGGAAGCAGGAAAGCGATAGACAAACACGTGAAGCACAAACACGTTCACTACAAGT